AGGGTGGAGGGAGCATTAAAGTTGATTGTGATGATGAATACACAAATCTTAAAAAGTGGTTTAAGTATGGAAAAAAGAAGAAGAGATTGAGCGGCTCACATTCACTTCATCAACTTAACTTCATAAGATGAAGCAAAATGAACTCGGTATGAGTTATGTGTATATTTGGAGATAAAATCATTCTGATAAATTCATAATTGAATTCTGAGTATGTCTATAGTCTTGAGAGCTAGAATGGAATAGAGGTAATTTGTGCCTCTGGGAACCTTCATGTGTGTTTTACATGCTGGGCACCTGCTAAGACTTTATTTGAAGTCAGGGTTCAGTAGCTAGAACATTTTTACCGTGACGATGAACAGTGTTCATTTTCAAGTACTGCTCATATGAACAGAGCAGTCATGTAGGATCATGCAGAATCAAGTAGAATCTATGTCAGTGAGCATCTCAGTAGGAAATCAAACCCAATCCCGTTGAGTGGATTCCAACTCAGAGAGACCCGATGGGGAGAGGAGCATGGCCCTTCTGAGTTTCCAAGGCTGTACATCTTTATGAAACAGAAAGCCTCAGCTTTCCCCTGTGGAGCAGCTGGTGTGCTAGAACTGCTGGCCTGGAGGTGAGTAGCCCAGTGTATAATCCATGATTCCCTCCAAGCTCCTTCAGTAGGAATCACTGGGCCACAAATGGTGTCTCTTCATAAAACACGTGTTGTTACAGCAAAGCCCAGCAGGAGGACGAAATGTAATGTTCCCTAGGAAGAGTATGCAGCACAAATTCTTTTCCGTACTTCTGAAGAGTTAGACATCAGTTTTAGGGATGTATTCTCATTATCACTTTTGGCTCGACCATCAAGCACACACGTTCTTCTCCAAGCAACTTGCAATGTACACATTGATTTGTTTCCTTTGGACATTATAAACAGACCATACAAATGAGAACAGAACAAAGCTACATTTTCAGAAAAATATTTTTCAGTGTATAATGAAAATAGATCACCAGGAAATCCTCACACATTTATAAGTGAAAATAATCTTACAGATGGTTGATTCAGTCTTTGATCCCACTTTGAACAGTGGCTTGTGAGCGTAGCACAATCTCCTTTGCTGGATTATATTCAAATTTAAAACATTTCCAGCTTCTTTCAACCTAAGTGACT